TGTGGACACAGCAACGAGGACCAATATTTTCGGGACCATCAAACCAGGATGAAGGTAAGTAATTGAAAAAAAAAAATAGTTTTTAAAATTTACATTACAATAGTACCTTGTATGTACGCATAATTTTATAAATACATCGTATCGTTGTAAATGACCCAAAAAGAACAAAAAGTGAGAAACAATGAATAAAATTTTCCACACACGGCCTATAAACTATCAAAAGAGGTAAAACAGCGAATGTGAGGTGAACACAAAATGCAAACGGTAAACTTGGGTACGAGAGGGGTTCGTCGCTCTTCCTCTGTATCGCATGCACATGGCACTTCGAACAGCCGTTGCATACAGCACATGCCGTGTAACATAATTAAAGAGGGTTGAGTTCATACCCTTACGTATTAGGTACATATTATCATAGCACATACACGCATGGAAGATAATACGTATAGGTGAAAATGAGGATCGGTTTTAGGCACTTGTTTACCTCTATGAGCTGTTACCATTGAGTTCACTACGGACTCTTTTTTCTTCTCGTTTATAAAAACGCTCCAGCAGTTCAGTTGGTATACATAAAAAAAGGGCGGGGTAAGCCTGGCATCCGAGACCTTATCTTTTTTAGAGACGAAGGCAGTGGTGCCAGCTCCACTGACACAACAGTTTTTAATAATGAAATAATGCAACAGTTGGGGCTCAAGCGACAGTACGAATCAACAACGAAACATTTTTTGTTTTTTCTTCCTTATTTAACGATACGATTGAATAAATAAATAAATAAACGTTCAGCCAGTAAACGTCCCATCTCCCCCGTAATATAATAGAGAGAAAATTTCGTTACTCCGCAAAATATCTGTAATTGGTATTATTCTATTTCTTCGGCTGTTTCCACCTCTTTGGCACTTACGTATTGTTAGAGCGTCGGATGCTTTCTCCGTAATATCCTTGCTGTATGTAGCGTCACGCATGAGCGCATCGGACGTCCTCATACACATCAAACCTACACTACATTATTTGATCTTGCGTGCACCATGTAAAGAGAGAAAAAAAAAAGGTAACAGCAGTAGCATTATTCTACTGTACACAATGTCAAAATATATATCACCTATATTTAAACGGAAAGGAGTGTCACGCTCCCCCGTCCAACTCGTGTGCCTATCGGGGCGGACACGGAACGTGTACGCTCTATTTTAGTATCGTCATTTATCTCATATACGTATGTATGTACGTAGAAGAACTATGGTGTTTAAAACTGAAGTGACGCAGCCGTGAACTTGGATCGTATGTTTCGTTTTGTTTTTTTTTAGTTTTTTTTTCACGCTACGCTCCCCTATTGTTTACTATTCAAGGAAAGGCTGACAGAGAGCGTATACGACTGTACTGCTAATACCAGCACGTGTGATCCATCAGAAATGTATGGATGTACATCGCTGACGATGATTAATTGATGGGCACACGAGATTCCGTCTCTTATTGTAATGGGCGAAAAAGATATTTCGGGTGACTAGGGAGACGTGTATAATTGAGGAGCTCAATTCGATAAATCTTCGAGCACTTGGAGGTCCAAGAAGTACTCAGTAAACATAAAAACCAATTGATTAAATTATAAAAATATTAACAGGAAATTGAAAATTGAAGCTTTTTTTTTAATCTTCATTGCTTTTGTTTTATGACCAGTTTTCGAGGTACATAAATGACCAAGTCCAAAAGTAGTGTCTCTTGAAACTAATGCTTTTTTTAATTGAGATTACAGTATCGGTTTTGGTGACACTTAAACAAATTTGAAACTCAAATATTAATTGAATGAGTATTAACGTTGCCGATAATACAGTGGGTCAAGAAAACTGTAAAGTGCAATTCTAATTGTTTGTGTTATGTTTAAGTGTGTATAGATATAGTTAGTCAAGTATATTTTATACTGTACATGCACGTGTCCACTTTGGTCGACAATTTGATTACAAAATTAAAATTTTAAACAATTATAAAATGTGCTTTAGAGATTTTTAATTGTAATTACCATATCACTATGTCATCTAATCGAGAGTAATATGTACGAGTACGCCACTGCTTTATCGTCTGCCGAGTTGCAAAACACATGTATTGTATGATTGTAGGCCAACACGGGTGATCTTCAGCGTGATATAGATATTTATAGTTAATGATGAAATGTTTTTGAAAACTATTGAGTATGTGTTACATTCAAGTAAAGTAAAAAGTAATACAGTTTTCCCAATACAATTAGTAATATTACAGTAGATAAATTATTGCTTATATAATATGTTATCATACATTTTGGAACAATTACCAATACTAGCAACTAGCAACTACTTGAGCATAAGTAGATATGACATCTCTGTATGTATCTGTTTTGTCGAGCTAAACATATTACGTATCAGTGTGAAAATAATTTGAAAAATTCAATATCATACCGTAAAATTCTCAACGAGCAATTTCCGATACAGTACAAATTTAGCAAGAAATCACGGGTGTGCGTGCAGCTAAACTTCGAAAATCACATCCGAGAAGTGAAAGTCCATAATGAGCCACTTTGAGCTGTGCCATAGACGAAATATCAAAAACCACACTGGCCATGTTCGGGCGAAGGTGCTTCTCTTGTTAGCCGCGGCTAATTCGACGCTTCGTCGCTGAAGCGAAGCGCCGACGTAAGTATACATCCACTCCCCGATACCTATACATACGCGCTATAGGAGTCCGAAGAAAAAAAAAAGGACCAAGGTTGTCCGAGGCGGCCTATGAGGCTGCACCACGGGTGAAATGGAAGACGAGAAAGGCAAAAAGGAGATGGAGACTGGGAGTAAGGTTTAGAAGCCGATACACCTATACGATTCAGCGTGTCCGGCTGAGTGCATCTTCACGTTGCGAGCGTTATATATGGGGTGTGTGCGGTCTCAACTGAAGTGTCAGGAGGTACCGCTGAGGGAAAGTGTGCAAAAAAGTTGCATCTTCAATAGGAATAATTGATAAACAATCTGTCATGTTACGTTTCATACACAGCCGAACAGCCTTTGATCGATGATTTTGCATCCTCCAGTTACTGGGTGACATTTGTTTTTGCTAAAATGATTTCTTCGGAAAAGAAAAGAAGAAACTATAGGAAGAGAGAGAGAGAGAGGAGTTTCGTAAGTGCATTTAGTAACCTTGGTACTGGATGGATGTGCGAGCGCGAACGCTTTATTGTTTTTCCTTTTCCTCGTGCGCGTGCGAATTACGTAAGGAGTTCAGTGCCAAGGCTAAAATGCAGCTCGGTGTGCTGCTATATACAGAGCTCGCGTCTATATTATACTCTGTACACTGTGTGTGTGTATATTTATGTGTTTCTCGTTACACGTGGATTGGTGTGGATTGCTATTCATGCGAACTATTATGTTTAATTACGTTGTACGCTGTATTTGTAATGTTTACTCTCACGGGCATTGGTTGAGTAACTGATCAAAGTGACATATGCACGAGTGAGATACCGTGTACCGATGATCATGTTTTGTCAAATTACGGGGTTGAAAAAAAAAAAATTCTAATTTGCTTCGTAGAGATGTTTGGGGAAATCATTAGGTATTACGTAAAAAGCGAATTAGCATTAGTTTGTTATCTACACGAGTCAAAATAACAATCTATGAAAACGGAAGATTTTGGGAAGGAGATGACTGTTTTGAAATAATTTCTAAGTCTTTTGCAAAAAAAAACAAATTGGATGTAAAGGAGAATTTTTTTTCGTTTAGTGATGATTGGGATTCATCTTCTGAAAAACATTTAGATTGACTTGGATTTTCGGGACATTAAGTATAGTAACGTACTACACATTAACTATTGAATTCAATGTCATTGCTAAATTTGCAAGATCTTAAGAATTTGAAAGAGTTTTCGTCGTCTTGAAATTACCGAAATTAGAAAAGATTTCTGTATCGTGATGAGTCGAGATACGTTTACGGGGATGGTAATTTTCAAGTGTCTCTCACTTGCCCTGAACTTTCAATATCTCTAAACATTCACTTCACCCTTGAGCTTTCAGAGCTTTCTCGTAAAAACTTAACTAAAGGAAATAGTGGCAGGAATGCATACACAATTTTTACTTTCGATAATTACACCCCTTTTCAATCATCCCTTGATGCATACAATTGCCGGCTTAACGGTTTCTACCAGTTCATATTTGGATTGTTATTCCAAAAGATATTCATTTGCCCTAAATCCAAAAAGATTTCTAATTGAAAAACCAATTTTTCTCCACATGAAAACTTGCCAATCATAGACTTAGCAGTGAAGTTTGGATATTTGAGAAACAAAATACTTACAGAGAGCAGAGATCTTTTTCGGCAAAAATCAAAATTGATCAACTAATTTCATGCGCTTCGAGAAGACTCAAGGCACTCCTTTCTATAACAAAAAGTTTTTTTGATTGATTGACGATCAATTGAGAGACCGAAAACCGATGAAAGTGTCCACTGCACTCGATTACAAGAGATAAGAAGATGATCATGCAGTTGTAGAGGAATGTAGGGCCCAAATTGTCTTCAACATTGCAGTTATCGGAGAAAGAAAGAGAGAGAGAGCTTGACGCACATGTGCTTGCATGGCTGGAAGATGCATACAAGATATCATCATTCTCATATCTAAGTATGTATAATCTCGTGCGTCGCGTATAGCGAATATATAAGGGGAATTAAAGGGTACACATCAGACGGAAGGCAGGAGGGCATCCACGCATGATGATAATAAGTAAGTATTGTGTACAGGGGAGCCGGTAAACGTTGCCTGCAGCAGCGACTGCGCGAGTAGAGAAGGAAGGAGCGACTCCTAGCGCGCGCGCGCAAGCTCCAGCAACCATATATACGTATATACACACAGAAAAAAGAGCCGCGTGGTGTGGTTGTTGCCGGTGGTGTGTGCACGTGTATTGTGTCCGTGTGAGACTCATGTGTGTTGCTATTGCCACCGCTGGTGCTGCTGTTGGGGCTCTAAAGAGAGAATCGTCGGCAAAGAGCGCTCGACCGCGCGACGATCGGGACGATTCGCGCCGCTCTCTCACTCATGTACTTTTATTCTGTCTCTCTTTCCCCGCTGTGTTTTCATACAATATTACGTACATTGTTTCATTGGTGCATTTGTTACTTTGATACAAAGTATACTTATGTAGACTTGTAATTAAAGTTGAATCGAGTGTGGTTTTGTCGCAAGTGCATAGGCAGCTTTTTTCGTCGAGGCAAAGCGACCGGTTTTTGTTTTTTCTTTTCTTTCCCCCGATCGCACGTAAAACAACGAGTATACTCAGTTTGCCGAGTTTTGTTGAGTGCCAAGAGAGAGAGAGAGAGAGAGAGAAAGAATACGAATTTGTGTGCTGCTGCGGTGGTGGTTTTTTTTTTTTTATCTTCAAGAGCGAAAGCGGTGACGGCCGCGACCTTAAACTTGGCGCGCGCCGGCTTACTTGTCTACTGCTGCTACTACTACACATGTTTCACACTCTTGTTTGGGATTCGTCGTTTATTTCGAGGATCAACAAATTGTGAAGACAAATGTACATAAAGTGTCTTGTAATCGTCGATTTTACAAAAAAAAAAGAAAAAAGAAGTTTAATCATGCCTGCGTGTATTTTTACGTGAATGCCTATACACAGGAGGATTTACAGATGTTCTTGTACGCGACGTGCGGAAAAGTACAAAATAATTCATACCTGCTTGTATCGTCGCCTACACAAATGTGCACGTATATTTTAAAGAAGCATATTAAATTTATTGCAGTGTAAGGAAGCAACGAAAGAAAAAAAAACAGCACCTTCAACGCATCCGTATAATCATAGTACACACCCACGCCTAATTACATATATATATATATATTTATGTATCAATATACACAATAAGCTTAAAAATCGAGATATATTTGTCTACTCTTGTATACACCCAAGAAAGTGAAATATATATATGATTGAGTGATCGCCTGCACACCTGCCTGTACAAGAAGAACACGGTCCAAACGTATTTGATGAGTGACGGTTCGAAAAGTGCTATTAACTCCAACGATCCTTCGCGGTAATATTTCTTGTTTGTGTTGTGTGAAAAAAAAAAAAAGGAAAAAAGTCACATAGCGATACCAACACGTCGTACCCGCACGTCCGGCAACCACGTGCTCACAGCGAATAGCGCTTGGACAGGGGGGAATCTGTGCAGTATATGTACGTCATCGTGCAACAACGGTGCGTCGACATATACAAGTGCTTAGGAGCGAGTGCGGTTTTTTACATTCTTCAAACACAACACATGACTCTCGACGTGTAGCGCATAGCCCAACGAAGTTGCAGGGCAAATGACAGTTTCGGCGCCATGGAGATCGGCAATGTTTGCGAAAAAAATCGGCTGATCGGTGATTGCCTCTTCGACAATACAGTGCTAAAGTGACAATAAGGGATACCAGTGAGGTGATAAGTACGTGGTACAGCAACAACAAAGAGCCAAAGTGTGCAGTTTTTCTCGGCGATAGTGCGGTGCGTTTGCAAGAGTGTGAAAAAAAAAAAAAAAAAAGAGTCCAGAGATAACCGTGAAACCGATCGCGCTATCGGCAACTTGAAACAGCTCTCTCTGTGTGCAGTGGTGTGCCGAGTATATCGATTTTTTGTCAGTGAAGGGTTTTTTTAGGTACCTTATAAACTAGGAGCGCCGTCGCACCACCCTCGCCCCCCTTATCGGCCGTGACAAGCCCCAATTTTGGAGAACGAGCGCAGTGCCCGCTTGGAAGAGCGGGCGCGTCCCCCCAAGTCGTCCAAGGTGGCTCACACGGTTCGCGACAGGGCAGCCGAGCTGCAGGCGGAGGTGCGCAGCGCGGCCATCCGCGTCCTGCAGAACTGGTGTCCTCGGCCACCCCCACCACCCCCGCCCCCGCCCTCTGGGACAACGGCGACGTCACCACCGTCCCCGCAAGGACAGGCCTCGCCCCCCTCGGTGGTAGCCGCACCGGCCCGGGGTGAGACGGTGCTGATCTCGCCTTCTCAGATGCGCGCCGGGGGTAGGGCGCCGACAGGTGGGCCCGCTGGTGGTACCAACGGCACTGGGCCGCCCTCGGTCGTCGTGAGCTCGACCTCGTCGAGTAGCATGAGACCGCCTCCGCCCCCGCCCCCGCCAAGGGCCAGGAACTCGGGTGAGGGCAAAGGACACCACGAGGAGCCGACCAGCTCTATTCCCGATTTAGGTGAGTTTGGGGCCGTTGTTGCCCAGCTTTTTTATTGTTTCGTCGTTTTTCTGCACGTTAGGAAGCATTTTGCTTGAAATTATTTAATCCAGCTCCGATTTCGAGGGATGCGTTAAAATTTAATTATGAGCAGTTTTCGTCCAAAACTAATGCCATTGTCTTTCAACAGCTTGTGTAATTCATTTGTCGGACAAGTGGCTTATTTTCTTCACTACTTGGGAAGTCCATAACTTTCAAGAAATAAAAAAGTAACTCGTATCATGATTTTAACAATAATTAACATGTAGAATATACCTGTTATATATTGATATATAAAATTAACTATTTCGAAAACAGTTTTTGGAGTGATGGTTAGACTCGTCACGGATTAAAACGAATGTAAACATAGGTTACATGTTTTAGTGAAAGAAAATAATTTGAAATGTCTAGAGAATTTTCCTATGTATAGGAACAGACGCACGTACACAGGTTATTGAACTCCTAAAGTCTCGGCACAATAACAAGCATTGGTATGAATTTAACTGCTACGTATCGAATTCAAAACAATAAGTGTATAAGCACTACAGGTTTGCGAATTCATATGAAGCAACGGTCTGTACAAGGTGTAACTGGAAAAGTACTTTACCATTGACCTTGATAACCGGGACACAAGTCGACTTTTTTTCATCAAAACGGGACGCAACTCGACAACTGTGTTGTCGTCGATCGGAGCCTCATTGATACTCGATATTATCAATCTTTCCGTGAAACAAAAATATTTTTTTCGTTTAAATATTGTCCGATCGACGTACCACTGTTAAATTCCTTTTAATGCTTTGAAGTGCTCGTATCCAATTCGTATACAAAACAAAAGTTTGATATTAGTTTTAGAAGGTTTTTCCGAGGTTTTTTCCATATCGATCAGTCAAAGACTGTAGTAAAAAACTTCGCAAGTCTAATTTTTCCCTCTTTTATTTATAAAGTATAAAAATTATCAAAGGTTATCTAACATACTGATTTTCATTCGTGAGTATCGATTATAAAATATCTTCACTAAACAAAGTTTTTGCTTCACGATATCGTATACTTCGAAATTATTGATAGTGGCAATCGAAGTTGTTATTCTTTTTCTTTTTTGTTAAGAGGGAACTCTTTTTTTTTTTTTTTTTGCTCCGTAAGTGATTTTTAAATTGCGGTGATTCTTGTTTAAATTGCGAGAGTCTTTATCACATATTATCTAATTAAACATTACCATTTACTATCCGGTGACTGCGATTCTATAAACGGCATTATGCCAATTACTTGTCCAATCGGTTGATTTACCGGACTCTGCGAGCGAAAAATATTCCAACTTACCCACATTCTCCGTTATTTGTTGATTAGAGACCGTAGGTTTTCCTAATGTTTAAAATCCAACCAAAGTTTGCAACAGAACAAACGCTCGGCTTTTTTATTGGTTCCACTCTTATGAACACGAGTCAATGAGAAAAAAAAAAAGGTTATTTGTAAAAACCGCGTGTAATTTTCATACACTCGCGTAACGCATAATATTAAGTTCAATGTCAAGGGTATACAAGACGACTGTGAGCGAGCATGCGGGCGTCTTTTGGTAAGCCAGTGAGCCGATGTGTCGTTCATCGATAAAATTGTATAATTTCATGGAAACCTCAACCTTGGTATGCCTGTTACTTCAAACACCTCTTACGCCACACACGGAGCCCTGAATTACACGTATACGCATGTGTATGTAACGGCGCCATCTCATGTACCATCATTTGATGATAGTTTTCCTTTCGACTCGCTATCTTTCGACGAGACTGTACCAACCAACTTATCCATTGGTCAATATTTAATGTGTATCCAACGTGTTACAACGAGCTACATATGTATATCCATATTATCATCAGTTCAACCTTGGGTGCAAACCTACCGTTGTTATACGTATGTCTATACCTAATATCCCATATGTTTCATATAAAAAAAGATCGATCAACCTCCAAATCAACCAACCATCGATCCTCGGTTCGTACTAAAATTAGAAAAATTTTTAAATGCACAATATTTTTACAATCGTACTGATCACAGACAGCATCTATATAGGTGACAGTGCAAGGTCTGCTTCGCGATTCCCATTTCCTTGTAGTGCATCAGCGTGCAACAGCAGCCTATTAAATCATAAATATACGTATGGATAATTAAGTCACTCTCGCGCTATCGCAGCGCAAAACTAAAATTTTCAGTCCGCTCGACTCTATTTATTGCGGCCTCATGTGATATCGATGATTTTGACATTGGCCGGCTGTACTGTTGATTTTTTTTTTTTTTTTTTTTCATTAACATTACGCGATTCAAGCGAACTAGCCACGAGTTTCGCGTATCGAACGATTCGAAAACCGTCCCCCGCTCCTTTGGTTTTTAATTCGATTTAGGGTTATTTATTTTATTTGATCGTAGAAACCTATGACTTTCTCTAACGTGATAATATTTCAAACGAGTTAATTTGTGATCAGAGTAATCTGTGAAACTTTGGTAATAATGTCTACACGCAATTTGATTGAATGTAGTATTCATTAGCTGCCTAAAAATAGGTCAGTCTCGTGTCTCTCATGCAGAAGGGAGTAAAGATATTAGAAACGAAAAAAAAAAAAAAAAAAAAAAAAAACGGATTACCCGTCGCGGACATGCAGAGCAGGAACATATATAGAGAGAATGCACGTAATGTACATTCGATAGTATATCGGTGACTCTGACATTCAGAGCGCCCACGTCATTTTAGCACGTACGAATTATGTCTGTAGGTGTATGCCTTTCGTACGTCTGCGTCGAGGTCATCGCCAGCGCATAAATACGTATACACTCGTGCGACGAAATATGCTTGTGTGTGAGACACACCAATCGTTCGGAAATTTCACGCCTCACCGCTGCAGCTATATAAGCTGGTGGTGGCAGGACCGATTACGCAAGTATAAGTGTATCCAATAGCGCGCTCCGCTCTTTGTGTCACTGGAGCGAATTGCGATGAAAAAGATACACTGATAAAAAAAAAGTTCCTCCAGTCTGGCTGATGTCAATTAACATGTTTGACCAGAAAAATAGTTTTTGATTAATACTGGTGTAGCATCTTGCACCTTCCTCGAGTTTTGTACCTGTATGGGTTAATAATAAAACAGTGTCAAACAGTAAGTTTTACTGTGTCCTAAAACTAAGTTCGAGACAACAATTACCTAAATGAGGAGATATTGCTTGGTGGGATTTTGTCTACATTTGTAGAAATTAATAGAGTTTGATGTCTTGTAATATAAAGTATATTATTTTAACAATACTCGAAAAGTAGTGTTTCACGCATCGGGATGTATACCTACTCACTTTACTTATACTCATAATGATACACACAAAAGTACACTGCAACTTGCGTAATATTCGAAAAGTATATATACTATTGTTTATCTATGTTGTGTTATTAAAAACACTTAAGCTCTAGTTTTATTGATTTTTTGAAACTACGTACCACCTATTTTATCAACTATTAACCTACATAATATATTTTTATAACCATCGCTATCGTTATCAATTGTTTAACCAATTACTTTCAATTACCGAGGTGATAATATTCGAAACGTGTACAATTATATTATTTATTTAATTGTTCATTGATTTACACGTGTTTACCAACAATTTTTTTGGTACTCGATGCGACACTAAATGTATTTCAATCATTCTTGCAATGTTTGGATCTTGTATTAAAAAAGCATAAAAAAGTAAAAAAAAAAAAAAAAAAGTGTAATCTCAGGACACGGCTTTTTTTTCGAATCGAACGAGGAGAGCGCGTTATCGCGGAGCAATAACAGCTGCTCCGTGGTGTTTACTCCTGACCGTGGGTATTCTATACGCCGCGATAATACGATAATACAACGAAGGTTACCTCGTCGTGAGAGCTCTTTTATTACAACAACGGAACTATATAAGAAGCACACGTTAAAGAGAAACACTGATCGATTATGCGATCGGTATGTTTTTGTTCGATGTTGTAGTATTGCTAGAGCAATGGCTCTCTCTCTCTCGGGCCTGTATAATTGATGATTAATTGATCGTTGAGTTACTTGTAGGTTTTTTTTTTTTTTTTTTTTTTTTTTCTAGCATTAAAAGACATGTATAAGGTTGGCAGATCTGTACTCGGTGATGCACGTAAAATCTGAATTTATTTCCGCAGGAAAATTTTAATCTTTCGTCTTGCAGACTATTTGGTTGGTTCCCTCTAATTTTACTTTTGGAAGTAAAAACAAAATTTTGCCCGGCAAATTCATAATCATGTTGGGAATATGATATTTATCCTTCGAAAAGAACACGAATCGTTACAACATTATTTGTCGAAACAATCGTAAGATATTTTCTTGCGCTTCGCCAACTTAATCAAGCCACCTCATATATTTTTACTGCTAATTTTAAATAAAAGGTGAGATGCTACGAAAATTTATTTCTTACTTCCGTATTGATTTCTTTGAAAAAAAAAGCGAATCTATGCAGTGTCGTAAGACACTTCCATTTATACTTATCAAATGTAGAAATTTTTATAAAAACAAATAAAAGCATCTAATCACGGAAAACATCAAGTTCATTAATTCAGCGCTGCAAGGCCATGGCTGCGACTCGCGACCGACGACAGTACCTATAGTTGGAAGTGGGTATATAACTCGCAATCTCGTGAGCGGCGGCAAATAATAGGCAAACGCGAATCCACTTGAATCGGCATCGGCGCTATCAGGAGTTCAATATATGTATATACGTATACACGTAACACATGGACGTGTGCACACGCAAGTGCTCCGTGACCTCCAAAACGTTCTCTCGCTTTGCTCGCACCTGATGCACGAGCAGAACAGCTTTTTCCGTGGCAATAAAGTTTTTCGAAATTCTTCACGGTTTTGGTCACGTTTGGCGTCATTGTCGCTGCACTGCGCTCGCGAATCGTCACAACGCTACACTTTTCACCTTCGCAGATGACATTGGCACTTACTGCCTGC